TCCATCTTTCAGCTATTGACCCAATAAATCATGATTTTAAATTAAAATTATTTCTTCCACCTTATGCCTCATAATTCTAGATTTAATTTTCAGTATTTGACTTAAGGGTCAAATTTGACTCAAGGGTCAGCAAATTATGGCCTGTGAGCCAAATCTGACCAGTTGCTTGTTTCTGTGTAGCCGGAGTTAAGAATGGTTTTCATATTTTTAAATGGCTGAAAATATCGAGAGAGGAGTAATGTTTCCTAATGTGAAAATTATATGGAATCAAAATTATAGCTTTTAGACATAGAGTTTATTGGAACATGGCAACATTAATTTATTTACATGTAGTCCAAAACTGCCTTTGCTGTATAAGGGCAGTGCTGAGTAGTTCAGAGACCACAAAGCCTAAATCATTTAATGTCTAATCCTTTACAGAACATGTTTGCCAACCCCTCAGGCAATATGAATGACTACTTAAATATCATTCAATATATCACTCTCAAATATAATAATTCTATATTTAGAATTAAGTTAAATAATTTAATAGCTTATATCACAGACATATAGACCATTGTACCAAACCGAGGCATGCGTCACCTTATTTGATGTAGTTTGAAGGTTTCACCCTAATTAATAGAAGAGTGCCTCATTAATAGGCACTCTGAGGATTGATTGGAAATGTTTATAAGATAGCACTTCTTTCAGTTTTTCTCCTACCTCTCCGACTGTTTGTATTCTCCTGCTGCACTCTTAAATGGCAGCATTCCCCAGTTACAAAGTCTAACATCTGCTATTCATACTTGCCACACTGGTCTTCAGTAATTTCTTCTCAATTGCTCACATTGTTATAAGATCACCAAACCCAAATCTATCTCAAGACCTGTTCTCCCTTCTGAACACCATATCCACAGACCCAAAAGATATTGAGCATCTCCTTCAGAATGTCACCCTCAACAGTGGGTTCACTGGATTTCTGGTTTTCACCCCTTCCTCGTTTTCACCCCTACCAAAAATGCTTCTCTTTCTATAAAAAGCATCACTACACACATTATGAAGACCAAAAACATGGAAATTGTAGTAAAATCTTCGTCTTTTTCCAGTGCCCCACACACCCACTCAATCATCATATCCTGTACTTCTGCCTCTGCAATATCTGTTAAATCTGCCTCCACTCTGTTCCCATTGGCACTGCCATGACTAAACTCTATTTCAGTTCTTTTCTGGATAACTACATTAACCTTCCATTTGATCTTCATACCTCTGGTATGGCACCAGCCCTTAACCTCTGCTGTCAGAGCGATGTGACTAAAACTCAGTTTTAATTCTGCCACCGTCCTTCCACCATGATCTAAATGGCATTTTTTTTTTTACGCTTATTGTACCTTGAGAATATCCCTAGCTAAAGCATATTACAATCTACCATCATATGTCCTCTATCATCATTATACTACAAACACCTCAGTTAAGTTTTAAAAAAAAAAAAAGTCTATTTAACTTGCAATCCTCCATACTAAAATAAGGTAGGCTGGTACCTAGTACATTACCAATAAAGGTAATTAAAATTGAGTAAGTTAGGATATTTGTTTTCGTGTGTTTTGGGGGTGTAGAAAAGGGAACTTTCATCCATTCATTTATTCAGTTGGTCAGTCAACAGATTCTTATTGGTGTTGCCCCTTAAGAAGAGAAGTACAATGACAAATAGTCTGGGGCTTCTCAAATTTAAAAGCACAGAGGAATCACCTGGGGTTCTTGTTAGAAAGCAGAATCTGAATCAGAAGATCTGGGGTGGGCCCGGGGAGTCTGCATTTTTAACAGTGATGTCAGTGTTCCTAGCCTGTGGATCACATATGGAGAACTAAAACACTAGAGTGCAGGAGAATCACCTGCAGAGGGATTTTTAAAAAGTATTTAAAAGTTAGTACCAAAATAGTATATGCACATGTAACAAAAAAAAAGCAGAATGTACAGACTTGCAAGAAAAATAGCCGTCCTGTGTCCTTTTTTCTGTGTCAACAGATCTTCTCATCAGATGCTACCACTTTGATTCTTGGACTATTTCTTCTGATCGTTTACTCCATATCTGGAAATACGCTTTGCTGTTACTTTTTTATGCATTAGTTTTAGGTATACTCTACTTACTTAGTGCTATAGAAAGGTGGTTTCTAACACTCTTACATTACTGTGTTTAACTCTATTACTAATAGTTAACATTTACTGAGTGCTTTTTTTGTACCAGGTAACAGTCTAAGCATTTCGTGTACATTGATTCATTTAGTCCTTACAACAAACCAATGAGACACCATATTAAAAGCTCTACAGCATTGATGAAGGAAATGAATCGTAGTAACTTGCTCATAGCCCCTAGATAGGAAATGGTGGGCCCAGGCAGCCATTAAACTGTTCTGCTTCTGAGAAGTATATAATAATTGTATTTAAATCAATAAAAAATATATAATCATTGAGACTATAAAAATGTTGTCAACTGCAGAACCAAGTCCTGACCCACCATCACGTTTTCTTTCCTGTAAAGCTTTAGAATTTTTTTTCTTCTCTTTGCAAAGTGATCCTTATAATAGTTCTCATTTTTCTTAAAAAAAAAAAGACAAAACTCTACCATATCAATTTATCTATTATCCACACTCCTTTTGTTTATATGCCAGAAGTCCTTCCCTTTAGGTTTCTGTCTAGTTCTCTTGCAAATCTGTCTTCCTGGATCTGACTTGAATCCTTTGTTTTTTGACTCTCTTTCTTAACTCACTCATTTACTTCGCTGGAGAACACCCCAAATACATTTTAAAGGATATATAAGAGGAAAATTCTCTAAATACTTTTGTGACTGAAAAGGTCTTCATTCTACCCTTGCAGTTAATCAATACATTGACTAAGTATAGAGTTCTCAGATAAAATTAACTTTTCCTCTGGGGTTTGAAGGTGTTTCTTCATTGTCTTCTAGCACTAATGTTTTTGAAAAGCCTGATGCCATGCTGATTTTTATTTTTCTGTAAGTGACCTATTTTTTTTTCTCTCTGAGGACATTTAGAATCTTCTTTTTATCCCTGCACTTTGAAATTTTACAATAATGTGTGATTTAAGCTGGGCAGGACAGGGATAGAAATTTGATTGGCAAAAAAGAGAGGGAATGCTCTCTAGGGCAATAACTAGCACAAAGGTGCAGAGGTGGGAATTAGCAAGGAGGTCCTAGGAGATTTGAGAGTCAACTATCAAACCCAGCTCTTGCATTTACCCACTTGAGTGATGTTATGCAGGTAGCAGAAACCTTTTAAGTCTCTTTGTCCTCCAGTGTAAAGTAAGGATGTTGACAGCTACCTCCCATAACCTCAATGACATAAGGTACAGTATAATCTAATGCTGACTTATTGAGAGAAAATCTGGTATAAATCATTTTCAATCTACAGAGTTAAGTGCATTCTGGTGTCTTAACTATATGACTATCAATTCCCTAGTTCATAATATAACAAAAATAAGATGAAGTCAGATATCCATGGAGTTTGAGGCTGGGTTAGCCTTTGTTAGGAGGCCAAAATTAGATATTATAAAAGTAAAATTATTTTTAAAATAATTTCAACAGCAGGTATAAGAATTCCTTAAAGAAAATAAACCCACCTCTGTTCTAAACTTATCAGAATGCTTCAGTAAATGATTATGGAAAGGATGTTGAGCAGTTGTTCAAATAACAAAAGAAAGAGAAACTAAACTTATCAGAATGCTTCAGTAAATGATTATGGAAAGGATGTTGAACAGTTGTTGAGATAACAAAAGAAAGAGAAATGCTACTTTTCATAATAAAGGGTTTGGAAATATTTGATGTTGGAAGACAGGGAAGCAAGAAAGAAATCACCAATGAGCTGAACCAAGTACTGTCTGGGAAACTAATCAGGGAAGACCCATTTCTCTTCCCTCTGATTTTAGTTGTGCTGAAGAAAGTCTTTGAAGAGAATACAAATACCTGGGGAATAAACATTATTTGCTATGTGCTGTGAGATATAAATACCCTCTTCTATCCCTTTTATGAAATTCTACTTCAGTTTTACACTCTTCTCTAATAATACTTTTTTTATGGGAGTGGACTTTGAGGGCAACTCAAAGAAGTGAATGAAATAGGTGGCACCTGAATAACGTGTAAAACACCTAGCAAGAAGCTTGGCACACAGTAAGAGCCAGATCAATATTATTTTTTATTCTGGTTGTTATTCTTAACATTACAACTATGAGGTGGAAATATCACAACTATCAAACTACTCAACCTTAACAATGTAATAGAAATAAGAAGATGAAGACTATGCTTTGTAATCTTTGATTCTCTTACTGGTTTCTATATGTGCATCCTTATTTCATATTGAATAATTATAAAAGTGAAACTGAACCCACATTTTTGATATTTATATTCTTAGAAGTGGCCAGTCTTAATTTGAAATAGGAAGACAGAAGTAGAAATAGTCACGGGCAGTAGAAGAACCTTTCTCTGCCACTGTTGCTTTTCTAAAAGGGTACATGATAAGGAGAATGAAGAGTTTTATAGGAGGCCACCATTCTGTATCTGATAGTATTTACCTTGCATGTTGTAAGCAATGCTACTCCACCTTCACGGAGCCATTCCAGTTTCTAGGAGTCCCATCACCACTGTTTATGAGTGCCCAGTATTCTCTTTCAAATAATAATGTCAGAGTCTCTTAGAAACTAAATAACCAAAATCATGTTGCAAAATGCCTTGTTCATACCCAGTGCCCCAAAAATATTTGATGTATCAAGGAATAACTGAGAAGTAATTACCTGACTCTTAATAGAAGGAAGCATTCAAAGAGAAGCCACTTGGTTCATGTCCTTAGATTGCTGAAACTTAATATATTCTAAGGTTTTGGGGGATAAAATTTTTACTCATTGTTATTTCTCTAGTGGGTAGAAAATTAAGAATAATAATAAAACAAGAATGTTCAATGTATACAAAACAGGCATCAGAGTCATAATTATAGGCCTTGTCAACCCCCATTAACCAGAATTTTGCCACATGAGCAACCTGAGTCTGCAGGTTCACTTGAGTCTCTGCAGCTTCCTAGAGCCTACACCTGGAATTTCTGTGACTGTGACACCGACAATCCATGTGGCTTGGAATTATTCTCATCTTTAGTAGAGTGATTTTGCTTCTGCCCAAATATACTAAGACATGTAACTATCCAGTGAAATCAGCCATGTGAAAAGCCAGGATTCATAATAGACATTTATTGAATGCTAGTTTCCTCCATGTGGTCTCCCCTAACAAAGAAGAAAATAAAACCAATTGGTTCTCGTTTCCATAAACAACAGACAAAAAGGATGTGGATTTCATTTTTTGCAGAAATAAACTTAAATTAAATAAACAGTTGTGTACTTTGACTACAGAAATGATTAAACAACCAAGAAGACAGGTTACCTATAATTTTTAAAATAGTACTGGCCATTATTCTGATGAGTGACTGGAAACTCGAACTTGTGTTTTCATTACTCACATAGATGAAAGGCCCCATTGTATCAAGAGCACTGAATGAGATACTGTGCTATTTTTCAAAGGCATAAAATCATGTAATTCCTTTTTTAAAAAAAAAAAAGGTTTTCAATATAAGAATAGTCATAATCAAACAAAATTTATATGCCCCCTCAGAAAAAAACACAAAGAAGCTAAATCTTATAGCTAATAATTATATGACATTTTTGCTATGCTTTGTCATAAATTGATACTAACTTATATATATAAATGGCTAGAAAGATAGAATTCTTTCATCGTCTTAACAACTATTTGGAAATAATGATCCAATTTCCCAAAATGCCCTAATACTATTATGCCCTGTAAAGCATTTAGTCCAGAAATTATGAACCAGAAATCTCAACCTTCTTACTTTAGGTCTTAATGTTCTATTTGAATCTAAGGTTATCATGTAAGTAATATGTGATAACTGCTTTCCCAGTACTCATTTAAAAATGACATTTGTGCATAAAATGATTCATTTTCATTTTCAATGTTAAAAAATAGTGCCTTTCTGCTAAGCCTCCCATTTCAGCATCTGTGACACTATTCAGTGTGTTTGTTCAATTTACCTTTCCTGCTAGACTATAATTTCTTGGGGGCAGAAGTTGTATATTGTCTATTTATTCAAAGTTCCTGATACAGTGTCTGAAGCATAGTAGGGGCTGAACAAATTTTGTGAAATGAATAAATGATGAATGATGCAGTATTAGATCCTGTCTACAGCTAGAATTTCGGAGGAGTTTAAAACTCAATGACATAAGGTACAGTATAATCTAATGCTGACTTATTGAGAGAAAATCTGGTATAGATCATTTTCAATCTACAGAGTTAAGTGCATTCTGGTGTCTTAACTATATGACTATCAATTCCCTAGTTCATAATATAACAAAAATAAGATGAAGTCAGATATCCATGGAGTTTGAGGCTGGGTTAGCCTTAGTGGCCTTTTACAGGTGCAATTTATTTTTGCAGGAAAAAGAACACTGAATCCTTCCAGAATAACCTGATTCTAGCAGACTTAAATAAAGTTGTTCATTCTTTCAAGGTTTTTCACATACTTCTGTCTTTCTAGACTGTGAAGTAAATTTCCATTTCCCAAAAGCCCCACTGCAGATTTTAATGATCCTGTCCACGTGATATACATTTTTTGTTTCATTGCTATTAGTGAATGACAAGTGAAGGATATTCATTTTAACTTGAAAATGTCAGGTATGCACTTTAAGAGATATATTTTTTGCAGCTTTTAATGAGGTGGTGTTTCTTTTTGAAAGAAATACTCATCTCTGATGCGAATGCTGTGCAGGTGACAACTGATATTTAATAAGCGATGGTTCTTGTATTAGTTGCAGTTCGCTAAAGAAAATGTCTCAGATTGCTTTTGAAAAACTCTTAGCGTCACTAGCCCAAAGGCAAGATGTGACCTTTTTATTACATAATGAGAATCATTTATTATCTTACAATGTATCTTAAAGTCACAGACAAAATGCCACTTTGATAATTGCTTTCAATTAGCTTTGAGCATAGCATATATTCATAAAATGTCTTCTCTAATTTAGAGTTGAATTAGAGAAAATTGCAGACGTAATCTACTTTAAGGTTGTCTCATTTAAGGTGATTCGTAGTTTTATATCAAAGAAATCAAAACGAGTAGCTTTAGAACAGTCTCTCAAAGTGTTTTAAGCAGGCTTTTCAATATTTGATTCTATTCTATTACCAATTAATTAACAAATTAGAAAGCTAGTTCATCATTTCTGACCTTTTATGCATGTTAACTTTTAACTTTCATTTCTAATGACTGTTTTGAAATTAAGCCTTGCAGTTCATGTTGAAAGACAGAAACACTCTGATTAGCAAGATAAATAAGGCTTGCTTTGATACCAAGTACATCTTGATATTGGGCTATAACTAGGACTCTGGAAACTATAATGGTGCATTCTTTCCTGACTTCAATAAATAATACATAACCAATGGTCAAGAAATAATACTAGATAATCATGTAACCTAAGTAAGCAGTTCTAGAATATTACTACAAGTGAGGATAGAGGTAACACAATATTTAAAATGTGACTTCAGATAATTTTTAAAATTATTATCCTGAGCATTGGGATAGTATTTAAGTCCATATCTCTATCTCCTTTAAAAATATTTTTGAAATAATAGAAACTCTGAAATTACATTTTACACTTGTGGTGTTTCAGTCACTCATGAAATATTATTAACTTTAACAGAGACTCACACAAATTGGTATTGTATCTGGAGATTACTCTACTCTCTCTCTCTCTTTTTTTTCTAGATAAAAATTACACACAAGAACCAAGCTCCGATGCTGATGGGCCCTCCTCCAAAAACCGGGTTATTCTGCTCCCTCGTCAAAAGGACAAGAAACCGAAGCAAGGAATAATCTTGTATTGTTTCATTCTTAGAAATTGAATTAGCATAATTGGGCCATGGAACACATATGCTGGAAATCTGAACCATTTCAAGTCTCCTGCTCATACACAATCATGGAAGTTGTTTAACAGGTTTTGTTACTAAGCTAATGTAAAGTTCAGCTATTAGAAAATTTATTGTCTCAGTTTATATAGGCATCTTTGCATGAAGAAAGCAGCTTACCTGAAGTGATACTGCATATTTTTGTTGCATGCATTCCCATAGATTTTTACATCTCCCACCCATCTCTTCCCCAATTTCCATTTACTAACCTGTAAGAAAAACCTGTGAAACATGAAAAAGGAAATACCATGGGAAATGTGATTCTCAGTGTGATTCCAATGATTACGAAGCACTAATCAGTAACGCTACAATGATCATAACTGCAGACTGCTATACGTTTCCCTTTTAGAATCAGTGTATCAATGACCTATGACTTGAGGAGAAATTTTAATTCAAAGATTTTATTAAATAGTTGACTACAATACCTTGCTATATATGCATAGTTTTTCTTCAACATCTTAACTCTTCTGAGCGGAAATAAAAATATCAGGTATAAAGTTTTCTTGTGCTGAAAAATAGAACGCGGTTTTTATTTTGCTTAGCTTTCTTTTTAATTCCAGAAATAAGTGAAAATATGTTACTTGACAGTCAAGTGTGGTAATATGGCAAGCCTTGTTCCTTTCTGCATGAGAATCTAGGAGAGAATTCATAACCACACCAATAACCAAATAGATATTTTAAACTACGTGCCTAATCAATGTGTTTCCCACCAAAGATTCAGAAAAAGATGCTTGAGAGAAATGGATTAATGCATAATTAATTAAGCATTGTGGAACAAATTTATAGTTCCTGTGATTAATTTTGTGATGACTAAGATGCTGGAAAGAGAGTGAGTTACCCATTAATTATGATTAAAATTCTCACCTTTCACAGACAGACAATAAGCCAGACAACACAATGAAAGCTCAATAGATGATTTCTTGCTTTTTTTAGTCATTTATAAATATAGATGTAATTTTTCATGGATCAGTTAAGTACACTTGAAGGAAGTAAATGATTGTATCAGTTTATTTCTAGTATAAATTGGTACCTGTAATAATACTGAGCTCTTGGAAGGGAATCATGCATGCAATTAGCTCCCTCCTCCTCACCTACTCCACTCCCATCTTTATGACATTTCAAATGTTTATTTGGAAACAACAGCCTAGATCACTGTTGAAGGTGTTCATGGCATAGCTGGAGTCTCTGATTGTTTTAAAAAATCATGGAACAGTACTTTTCTTTTAGTGTTTCATTAAGCGTATGTTGTAAAATGAAATGCTTTTGAGCAGTCTTGTAATATTGTTCATTCATATTGACCTGCATCTCATCATTGCATGTTTTATGTTTTCAAACATGCCATAAGGAAAATGAGTGCTTGAACTGCATGATTTATTAGTTTCTCTCCACTCTGCATTAAAGTGCTAATGATTTATCAGTTCTATTTTGTTATTGATTCATTCATCTTTGAATAACAAATAGCATTTAGTGATTCTGTTGAACACAATCCTGTGCATGGATTTATGGATTTCAAGTGAAATTGCTATAATTTTAGTTCTTTGGTTTGAAAACTCAACTGAATGCTGTTATATCAAATAGCTGCTCTCAAGCACTGTGCTATAATGGAAGATTACGTACAAAGTGTATTCTTTTAGTGTTCCTGGAACATTGGATGGTAAATATCAGTCAACAATAAGCTTAATTACTTTAAAAATAAAAGCTTTTGAATAAAATTAAGACATAATTTAGCATTCCCAGGAAAATTATGATTACAATTGCAAATTTAGTACAGCAATCACTTGCCCTGGTATAATAAAAAATTGTTTGGCAGAACAGTAATCTAGACCAAAAGAAATCTCAAAACAGTAACAAGTACATTACCGACATAATGTTACACAACACACACATTGATTTTTTGTATCTATGGTTACAGGTAATAAATATTTTCACATGAATTGACAAAATTTTCTACAATGGGCAGGCAGGCTTTGTGTCAAAAACATATTTTGAAGCCACAAATTATTTTATGTTCGCTACAACATACAATTACTTCTTGGCTACCTTTTATAGTATATAGTTTGAAGGCAGCAACAGTTTGTGAATCATTCTTAACAATCTGTGCAGTAGAAAGCTGTTGGATAGACAGTGGGATGAGACAAATTAAACAACCTGCCTATAAGATTTCAATAATTGAAATAATGGGATGCAGCTTCACTTCAATGTAGCTGT